GTGAAACACTAGTGGTGAAGGATCTTTTCTTCTGTATCGTGACATGCTTCCGAACATAACAGATTATCGAAAAAGACAAAATGTAGAGCAGGGATTTGGTTCTTGGTTTGGTTGTTGATTGGATTTTAACATGTGGGCATTGCACTAAAAAAAAATGGATGCAGATGAACTTGAGCATGGGGTTTAAGCAAACGAAATGATTGTAAAAGTCTGGCATACATCACAGAAGGTCCAGTAATAATATTTTGTTACGAATTACAAAGCCAAAAAGTAAAAAAAAAAATTAAATCTGTTTTTCAACAACATGTTAAGTTGTGACACAAGAAATACAGTTTCTGGGTCCAAGCCTCTACTTGTTTCAATTGAGAGCACTCAATCTCAACAGCCGTTTATAAGCACTATTTATTCACACATTCAAACTAAAAACTTTAAAAACTAAAGGTATAAACTACAGTCACTGGGCTCATGGTGTCCTGGGCACCAATATTTTAATAATTCATAAAAGATAATGGCTGTCTGGCCATCTGAGATTTCTGTATGGAGATAAAAGTTAGCATCATGATTTTTCAGTAGTATTACAGCACATTGTGAGTGAATATTAGCACCGTTTATTGTTTGCTTTTGGGATTTGATAGAACGTTTGGACCCAGTGACACGTGACATCAGGCTTAACAAGCGGATTGAATGAGCACCTGCATTGAGAACGTTGCTTTATGATGCAGCGATTCAACCAAAGGAGATTCTGCCGCTTAATAGTTTATTTTGGAGAAGGGACCGTGGATAATTGGGGCAGTGTTTTCACTGGAATGTACACAAGACGATATATGCCAGCAGCTAACCATCAGCCTAGTCAACCAGATAAATCTGATCTCTTTGGTGGACTTCATAAAGTTCTAGTTGTCCTTTGGCCCAGATACCATTAATCGAGAGTTCATGAGTAGTCTTTTAGTGCAGAGAAGTCTCTGAGTGCTTTTGTAGAAGACGATGAAAATACTGGTCCGTACTGGCCAAGGGGTTTATGCCAAGATTTATACCATCAGGATGCACCAAGCAGATGTATCTGATGGGGTCTCTTACATGCAAAAGCCTGCTTTCTGGTCACACCCAGCTGAAAGGGTCCAATAAGGACAGAGTGGTGTTTATTTGTTGTTGTCGTGAAGCGGGATGGAAGTTAAGATGTCAAAGATGGGCTGGTATGAGTGCAGAAGGCAAACAGGATTTGGATGATTATCTTACGATATTGACATGTGTGGTCATAGTTCTTTTTAACACAAACATGTTTGCCTTCTGATTGTCTG